TCAACTCCCAGAATTCCTCCACCAGCCAATCTTAAGACTTATGGACTCCAACTCCCAGAATTCCTCAACCAGCCAAGCTAAGACTTATGGACTTCAACTCCCAAAATTCTTCAGCCAGCTAACCTTAAAACTTATGGGCTTCAACTCCCAGAATTCCTCAACCACCCAAGCTAAGACTTATGGACCTCAACTCCCAGAATTCCTTAGCCGAATTGAAGTCCACAAGTCTTAAAGGTGCCAAGTTGGTGAAACCCCAGTTCTAAGCCATCTCCTCTGCCTTGGGCACGATGTCTCCTTGTTAAGTTTTGCTTTCATCAACAGGCAGGGATGGTCCCCAAACTGCTACGCTTGGAACGTGTTATTCCTCAGCCTGCCGGACCTGCTGAGAGAAGCTGGAGCTGGGCCTTCACACCTGTCCATACCTGTCCTTCACGCAGCTCGTGGGAAATGAGCCTCATCTGGACGGCTCCTGGCCCGGTGTGAGCCACCGGAGGTGTGATGGTAACATTCAGTTTGGGGTTAGAAACCAGAGGTAGATCGAAGGAATGGGGCGGGACCAGCAGGGGTCGGGACAGCCGGACCTGAGAGGAAGCCATGCTGGCCAGCGACTGCAATGAGAGGAAGTGATAAAACAGAGATTAAAAACGTGTCTATCTTCAAATATCTGATATGTTTCCATAAAGATTCAATGCACAGAACTTGTTGAAGGACCAGATTCTCTGCAGCCAAAGGTTGTTCTTGGAGAGTTTTTCTCCAGCCTGGAAGGCAGCCAGGACATTGGGGGCAAAGTTGGAGCTAATTAAGGGACTCTTATTGATTATCTGACTGTGTTGCCTTTGTGCCAGGTCCCTTTGGGTCATCAAAGTTACAGTGGCACCGAAATAATTGACTTAGAACCATTTTTCACACCTATGACCCGTGCAACATCCCCATGCCACGAGATCAGAATTCAGATCGTTGACATCTGGTTCGTATTTATGACGGTTGCAGTATCCCGGGGTCATGTGGTCACCCTTTGCGACCTTCTGACAAGCAAAGTCAATGGGGAGGCCAGATTCATTTAACGACCGTGTTATTAACTTAACAACCATTGTGATTCACTTAACAACAGTGGCAAGAAAAGTCGTAAAATGGGGCAAAACTCACTTAACCAATATCTCACTTAGCAACAGAAATTTGGGACACAGCTGTGGGTTAAGTCAAGGGCTACCTGAATAGTAAAAAATACAGTAAAAGTTATAAACATAAACAATGTTTGTTTATCCTCATGAACCTCTTTCAGATCTGCTCTTTCTTCCTATTGATTGTTTATTTTATTTTTAATAATAATATTATTATTAAAAATTTTAATTTTTAATTTTAAGAAAATATTTGTAGTTTTTACTCACCGACAGCAACTCCATCTCGGTGAGGTTCCAAAATCTCTTCCAGAAATGTACATCCAAGTTCTGAGTAATGCGCTCAAACTCTGATCCTCGCAGTTCAGGGTCGATGGCAAATTTCCCGCTCATGAAGAGAGAGCCAGCAGCCACTCCTGCGTGAAGGAAGGAAGGAAGGAAGGAAGGGGAAGAGATGGATGGATGGAAGGAAGGAAAG